ACTTGGAACCAACCTAAATGCCCGTCAATGATAGACTGGATAAAAAAAAAATGTGGCACATATGTACCATGGAATACTATGCAGCCATAAAACAGGATGATTTCATGTCCTTTGCAGGGGCATGGTTGAAACTGGAAACCGTCTTTCTCAGCAATGTGACACAAGAACAGAAAACCAGACACGGCATGTTCTCACTAATAAGTGGGTGGTGAACAATGAGACCACATGGAAACAGAGAGGGAAACATCACAGGGAACTAGATAGAGGAGGGATGGCACTAGGAGAAATACCTAATGTAGATGACGGGGTGATGGATGCAGCAAACTACCATGACATGTGTATACCTATGTAACAAATATGCACGTTCTGCACATGTACCCCGGAACTTAAAGTATAATAAATAAATAATTTAGAAAAAATACTGCATGTTTAATGTGCTTCCTTTAAAACAATTCTTACTGTTGTGATTGTTATAGTTCTATTAAATAATCAGTTATCTGGTATTTTATAAACCTCAGTGATATTACAGAAATAATTTTTCTGAAAAATGTACTCTTCTCTTTAGGGCCAGTGTATACCTTTGTTAAGAATACAAAATAGGTATTCTAATTCTTAACAAACTTTAGGGAAATTTTAGGAAACAAGTATGTAAACCTATATTTGGCTGAAAACTTATACAATTGACCAAATAGTAATAACTTTTCAATTGGTTGTAAAGTGACTAAGTCTGATATCTTTACAAAAATGCCATTTTACACTTAAAATAAATCCAATTCCTTCCTTGACAAAGTAGAGTAAGTGACTTGACCATTCAACAAAATGACTTAGCTCATTTAACGTGGTTATTCATCTTATTAGTGATTCTGGCATATTTATGTAATCATACCGCTGCTGCAATACATACAAAATTGAATAAGATACAGCTTGGTGAGTGTTTCCTATCTTAATCTTTGTGACAATAAATACATGTTTGGAAGACTAAAAATTTTGGCAATTTCAGAGATTTCATTTCTCTTTTGAATAATTATTCAAGTACATTAAATCTCTCATTTTACTTGCAAGTTTGTCTAAAAGCTAAATTATTTGAAAAGTCTTATTTTATCACTTCCACAAAGGCTGTAGGAGATTGCTAGCTAGTTGTAATTAAAACTCTCCACTGCTTAAGGAGACATTTTTCTTTTCTCTTCAGGTTGCTTAAGGTTTAATATAGAAAGTGGATTAAAACCAGAATAGACAGATATGTACATAGGTATAAGTCAAATCTAACAGGTTTCTTTGTACTTTGAGGGTTTGCAATTTGAGAGCATGCAACAAGCACATAAATGCCTCTTATAATACTATTCTGTCCTTTAAGATTAGATGCTGGATTTGCTCATCATTAGAGCCATTTTGAATTAAGTCTCTTAAAATACAGACATAAACCTGGGTGAGATGGCACATCCCTATTGGCCCAACTACTTGGGAAGCTGAGATGGGAGGAATGCTTGAGTCCAGGAGTTGGAGTCCAGCTTGGGCAACATAGCAAGACCTTGTCTCTTAAAACAAAAGCAACACACACACCCCTCCCCACCCTGAGAGGAGCAGCAGAATAAAATGCCAGTCACCACTAGGCTTCTGATATGGATTAGTGACAGATTAGCCACCTGCCAATTGATGAACTTTTTGGAAAGGCATGGTGGAAACGTGACAGCATCTGTACAGGGCAAAGTTCAGGCATCAGAGTTGAGGTTCCTGGGAAGTCAAGGAAATAGCCTGAAGACAAGGACCACTAATGATGTGTTAGTGCAAGGAGGGCTTGACACTAAGAATGAACTTCCTCTGCTTTATATTTTGAATCCAGCTGTTAAAATCATGGGGCTTGCCTAGAACTAGGATAAAATAATTGTGCATTGAGTTTGTATATATCTGGAAACATCATATCTGGAGATTAGAGATGAATATTGCAAAATAAAAAGTCTACAGTTTTCTTCTATTCTTCTACTATCCTAGGTAGGAATTCTGTCTTTATTTAACAAATGTTTAAGAAATGTGTTAATGAACTATGAAGTAAAGTGATACATTCAGTCTAATCAATGAAGGAGAACTAAAATAAATGGCTTAATATAAAAATCAAAAGAACAGTTGGACAAAGGAAAATTTTAAATGGAGTGACTACAGTAATCAAGTGGTTATATTGATTCTACAGTAAATAATTTTCTGGCTTAAAATTATATGTCCAATGTATATTTGGATCTATTATGCCTTATCTATGATACATAAAAACATATATATTCTAAAATATAAAATCAACTGTTTTCTTCTACTGAAATATTTTCTAATGGAATGGTGAATATTTCAGAATCACATAGTTTTAGAAGGACACATTTTATTTTATTTCTATGATCTTGTGCCAATCTGGATTTTATTATATGTAAAAACTCCAAATTTGTTCTTAAGATACTGATTGTGAAAAGGTCTCAGAAGCCTAGCAGTTACTGACACAAGAAAAAACAATAACTAGGAAAATCCAAGTGATGACTACAAAAAGGAAATGAATTCACTATGAATGTTCATATTCTTTGAAATGATTTCCTAGGTTTTGCAGTTAGATTTTCTTGGGGTTACTAGGTAAATGTGAAACATTATTCTAGCTCTGATATTTAGTAGTTCTGTGATTCCTTGGTAATACCACATGAATTTTGAGTTCCCACTGTCCCATTGCCAAATTGGATACCAGTACTCCAAAGTTTGTCATGAGAATTGGGTGACATAATCTAATAACGGCCTGTAGCACAATGCTGGCCTAAGCAGAGGTCTCCAGTGCACATCAATACAATTGGATCCTGAGCCCTAGGCTTAACCAGTTGTACATCTCTTTGAAGGGATAAGACATAGGAGCCTGAAACAAGCAAGCAAGCAACCAAACAAAATAAGACTGTGAACTGCAGCACTGCGTTTTTGGTAGGAATTTAAAAGCATCTCAGATAACTGAAAAGAAGGTTTTTGTGATTTAGTTAGAGGTAGGTCCTAGAGAATAAAGGATGTGAATCACAGTTTCAAAGGTGGAAGGATTTAGTGGGAAATGGTGGATTAATAACAAGGCATAACTAGAATTGCAATCTCTTCCACTTTCTCTTTAGGTAAAACTTTTTAATAGTACTGGGAGTTGAGATGAAAGTATAGACAGTCTAGGGGAACTGAGAGTGGAAAAGAGGAGAATTACGAGATTTATGAGAATACTCTGAAAACTTTATATACAACTTTGAGGTTTCACTGAAGTAATTCTCCTCAGCCTTCCCTCAGTGAGATTATCCTTGTGACTGTACAATAAAGACTTCTATGGCCAAATATAGTTTAGATTCCTCCACCCTGCACAACACAAGGTATCTATTAGTTGCCTGATGGATATTCTTGATCTAAAGTAAATGATTTACTCTGATATTATAGATTCATCATCTCTCACTGGAAAAGCCACCTTCTCAGCACCATTCTCAGCATTAACCCATTTTCATGGACAAGTGCTGCAACTCACTGCACGAGTCTTAGAGCTTTCACAAATACTACCCCCATCGCTGTATTATTTTACCTGGCACCACCAGAAGAAATCCCATGAGGTCATTTCTCTTGAGCTACAGTCAAAAGAAACAAAATCAAAACCAGCCTTTAAATATATTGTATTTGACTTCTGAGGCAACTCCAAAATGTTAATATTATTCTTGATTTCTCCTTCAATTTAACTGCTGATTTTATTGGTAATATTTTTCATATTGTGGGTGTTGTATGCTAAAAGGAATGCATGAATTTGTAGAGGTGCATCAAACTGGCTAATGTGAAGGATGGTGGTTCTCTAGAAAGATCCAGGAGGTTCATATGAAACTGGACAGCCCACTCGTAAATCTAAATATCCTTGTCTGCGAGCGATTTTTGGCTTGTTTGTATTTTGATTGTTGTTGACGTTTTTTCCTTATTCATGCTTTAATAGCAAAATCAGCATAGTTCAAGGTATTTTCTGTGAATTCACAGCTGTCCTCAGTTAACAGCCTTGACTTTACCACAGTTTCCTACCCTAGAATGCTCCCATGACTTCATCTTATTACTTAAATGTGCTCTCTTTGTATATTTTAGTGAATCTTCCAGGTACAGTGATATTCTTCTGGGGGAGAGGCATCTGGTCCTATTTTCATAGTTTGGAGGGGAAATATACACATATATGAAAAAATATGGAGAAATTCCCACACAGCTATCCCAATAAATCTGGTCGTTTTAGCATTGTTTGCTTTCATCATCATTCCAGTACTCCCTGAACTCAAATGGTGATCAGGAAAGCAATCCTATCGTTTTAATTATTAGTGCTTAGGTAAGAGCAAAGGGAATGGCTTGCTTTTGGGAAACTTGATGGTGCAAAGACGATGACCAGTACCTGGAGTGAACAAACTCAACGAACTTTTGAGGGTGCTTTAATATGATTTAGTTAAGTCTTCAGTGTGAAAGAAATTTGCAGTTACATTTTTACACCTGATAAGATCAGAAGACTGAGGAGGTAAATCAGCAGCAGTGTGAATTTAATTCACGTTGGGCGAAGTTCATAGTAAGGTAGATCATATTGCCTTGGAGGGATTCTTTAACCATGTTTTTATTTCTCCTATTCCAAAGGTTTCTTAACTTATGTAAGCAATTAGATCATTTAGCATAATACGTACAACATGCTGTACCCCAGATGTCAGAAGAAAGGTTTGAATATCTAACTTACTAGCCCCATTGCTTGAAATGACCCAGATTTGTGAAGATAAGAAAAAGCCACAGAAATAAAACTCTTAACTCCAGCTCCTGTCTTCACATGCCATGTTTTAAGTTAAATTGGCTAATTTCTATCAGTGAACAATTGCTACATTTAATTTAAATAACTTGACTGCCTAAAATGTCCCTGTTGATTTTCCTCTAGGGAAATATTTTTAATTCAGTTGAGCAAAAGTATTGATTCACTTCTACCCTTTTTTTCTGTTTGTGTTTTATTTCTTCAGATTGTTTTTTCCATTTGCATTGCTTTCTGGGGAGTTAGAAGCATGAAACAACTCACCTCTGGCCCTTGGAAATAACCTGAATTGGTACATTATTCTCTTCTTTTAATCAGTTGTCCATAACCATATTATGACTGCATATTAAAATGTAATTATCTTCTATAATGCTTATATGAACTATTTCTTTAATGAAAGGTAAAATTACTTATTTACTATTGTTTGCTTTTCACATTTGTTATTTTCTATCAAAATTAAAGTCAGTTGTGGTTACTTCCCCCCTTTGATGCTACAATTAAAAAAATTTCAAATATAATGATGTTATATTAACCAATAGCATATAAGACAAGTATAAAAAGAAGAGATAAAACTTAAAAAACAGTAAAAAAGAAGGAATATTGCCCTTGCATCGATTTAACAATGTTTCCTTTGATATTTGCTAAATTTATGCATAGATACAGATTTGTAGTCATAAAAATGTATTACATTAGTTGTCTTACTAAGGCCTCATTTACCTTTCCAAACCATATTACCTAAGGAGCTGCATTCCAGAAAAAGACATCAGGGAAAGAAAAATGAATAGAATGTGTCAGAATTAATGTGTTCAACTGGTTGCTTTGTCATACATTTCTCTAATATGCTTGATCAGTTTGTTTTGGCAGACTGAGCAGAAAGCAGCAATTCTGTATTACTTAAAATTGCTACAGCAATGTTAATTCTCTAAATAAAATTACCCAAGGCGTTGTGTGTACATTGTTCATTGGGATTGTAAAAATCCGCCAACTGTTTCATTAGGAGGAAACTGACAGGGATAAGCAGGATGAAGTCCAAAGAAGGAGGACTGGAAAAAGTTTTAAAAAATTATTTGTTGTTCATTTCTCCAATATTTCTTGAAATCAAGTTAAAATTTAATAATTTAATAAATGTAAATAATCAAAGATGCATGCATTAAAAAAAATAATGGTGTCCTTCATTGAGCTTTGCCTGTATTTATCACTGGGTTAAAGAGCCTGACTAGTAGATAATCTCATATTAGAAATATGTTATTTAATCTTTGAATGGACAAAAATATTGGAGTATTAAGAGAATCTGCAGGTGTCTGTGTGAACTCAGGATACAGAATTGTAGCACATTTAGTTTTCCAAATGGAACAACAGAGGAAAATTAAATTTTGCACGATGGAAATGTAACAAATTCTATCTCAAGTATCAGAAGTGGGTTTGGCTTTGCTTCATTCTTTTTACACTGCTTAATTTTACACATAGTTATAGAAAATATGTAAGCCTGTAACAAATATTAAATCCTGCTTTGGTCCCTTACCAACTATTTTTGCAGTTTTTGTGTGTACAGAATCATGTTACAGTAGGGAGCCCTCTGCTGGCTTGAAATTATGAAATTTAAGATCTAAATGTTCTCAAAACCCTGATTTTACATTCTAGAGACTTTTCAATGTGTAAAACACATTCTTTAGTAATGGCAAAGGGAAAGATACTTTTTGCTAATCTTTAAATAGTTGTTTAGTATGTCAGAAGACCTTAATGGTTTCCCAAGGGATGATGCATAAGTATGTGTATATCCTTTTGTAACTGGGTGGCGAGACAACAGGGGCTCAGCTCCCTCCCCGTGGTCGCCGAAGATGTAACCAACAGGGTGTGTCCAGGTTCTTGGGCTCATTTGCCCCAGGAATGGGGAAAGGGCCCTCGCAGCCCAGTGAGCTTACCAGTTCAAGTAAATATCGGACCCAAAGAGTTTAGCAGAAAGCAATTTATTAAGCAGAGAGAGAGCGCGCGTTCCGACACTGCCATGGGAGGGGAATCCAAAGGGTATATCTGTGTAGGGAGAGAGGGAGAGACAGCTCCCAAGTTGACATAGGAGGGGATCCCAGAGAGGGAAATCCGCACAGGAAAGGGGCGGTGGTCTTTTAACGCTGGAGTTATTCCCGCTCCATTCATGTTCTTGTCCAATGAGGGGAGTTCTTTCAAACTTCCTCTGCAGTGATTGATCTTTGATTCTGATACTGGATTGGCTGCTAGGTCCACAACAGAGGCCCTTCCTCCCAGAGCTTTTCGCGGGCTTTTTGAACAAAGGCGCACACCTGGAATTTCTACCTAGCCAGCGGGCTGGAAAGTCAGACAGAGAACTCCAGGTTCCGAATGGGGACGCGGGTGGAGGCAAGGCGCTAGGAAGTTCCTGTTTTTGAAACCATGCCTCTTGCGGACTCGGTTTTCCTTAACACAGTCCCCTCTCTAATATATGTGAATTTATAGTAGTAGTCTAAAAATGTGTTTAATAATGGAAATGTTAATAAATCATTCCCCCAAATGATAAAAGATCCTTTTGCGCCAAAGTTCAGTTTTCTTTGAGTAAATTGAAATCTGTCTATTGTCTCTTTTCCCTCTTGGGTTTACCTCACTGTGATTGTGAATGGTTTTCTACTAGAAATACAGATATTATCAAGATACCAATTTGTGCCAGTGAAAGTAAGAGTGGTTACTCAATAGGTAATATTCCTGAAACCTCCTTCAAAAAATAATAACAGTGAGAAAATTACGACTGTGAGAAATCTGACCTAACAGACTCTATCTGGCTTCTAACCTCCAAGCTGTCCTTGTTTATTCCTGGGCACAGGCCAAGCTAACTTTGGAAGGAACTTAGTTTATAGTTTAACTTTGAAACAAAAATGATAACAGCCCTTTCCCAAAACAACTCCCTTCTTGCCTGGCGACCAGGCTGCTTTTGTAGGACTAACAAATTGGCCACAAAATTAGAAAATAGGCTTAGGAGTCATACAGCTAGAGGCCACAAGATTCTAAATCTCACCACTTGCTCGTAGGGATAACATCACTATTGTGAAACCTCAGATTGGTGCTTGAGGTATTTTTTAGCTCCTGTACTCCATGGATCAGCTGGCACCACTCAGATGGATAAACTGGCTCATCCGGTCTTGTGGCTCCCACCCAAGAACTGACTCAGCCAAGAATAGCTTCAAGACTCTATGATTTTTATCTCTGACCTGATGAATCAGCAGTCTCCATTCCCTGGCCCCCTACCCACCAAGGTATCCTTAAAAAATCCCAGTCTCCAAATTTTCAGGGAGACTGATTTTAGTAATAATAAACTCCAGTCTCCTATTCAGCTGGCTCTGTATGAATTAAACTTTCTGTATTACAATTTCCCTGTCTTGATAAATCGGCTCTATCCTGGCAGCAGGCAATGAACCCATTGGGCGATTTCATTCCTAGGGCCTCTGTGCGTTATTAACCAAGGCACTTGATTCTTCACTTTATTCTTTAATCCTGCTAATTTTCCAGTCCAATTTTCTTTCGCCAAACACTAATACATGATGACAGAACATACAGCTATTATTAATGTTGTAAATTGATCTTGAGTGATACCATGTAATTTATGCTTACTGGAAGGACTTTAACTGTCTCTCTCTCTCTTTCTCTGTCTCTCTGGAGGGAAAGTCCTAATAATAAGACTCATCAATTACTCACCACTTCTAATGGAGAGATGCAAATTGACTTTGCAAATCATATGAAGATATTTACTTTTCCTAATCCGCCCTAAGAAAGGCTAGAGAGAGGAAAGAAGCATTTGTTTACTGAGTAGTCCTCTATTAGTATTATTTGATTTAGTCTCTAGAATCCTATATTAGGAGCTATTAACATCACTTGACAGAAAATAATTTTGAGTCTTAGAGAAGCTAAATAACTTGCACAGGCCTATGAAACATAAGTGACCAAAATAAAATTTAAACTCTCTGAAGCTGAACATCGAAGACCATGATATTTCACCATTCCATAATGTCAGACATCTAAACTAAGCCTTTAGAAGTATAGGCCAAGGAGTTTAAGTTCAGATTAGTTTCTGTTCAGTTTGATGCTCCAAGATACAAAATTAAGTTCTCAGGATAAGTATTTTAGTTATAAGATTAGTTGACAAGGTGAATGAGTCTAGAACTTCTAAACCTTCTAAGAATGGTGATGCCCTAGGTGTATTTATATGATTGACATATGTCTTAAAGAAGCTACACGACCTTTCCATTTTCTCTAGAACTGCTCATTCCTGTAGCTTTATTGGTTGTGTCATTGACTTCCACATCATTTCATTCCATATTATTTTTGTTAAACTGAATCTAATCATCTCAAAGACCTGATATTTAGCAATATGTGCATTCCTAATCATGTATCAGATGTTCAATTAGTTGCTAAAATATATGAGCCCTTGTTATATCTAACATTAACAGCTTACATGATTATTTATTAAAGATTTCCAAATTTCATTTTTAGTGATTATATAATTTAATCCCTCAGTGTGGAATCTGCAAATAGTATCATTGAGTGGAATTCTTTAATATACGGTATACATTATAGTGTACAGTAATAGGATTTATTCAGGAGAGCAATAGAAAATAAACTTCCTTTTTAATGTCTCCCCCCGCCCCCGCCAAGTTCTCATATTCATAGACTCCAGAAACCCAAGATAAAATGGTAAAAAACAGACAAGTTTGGCTTTCAGAATCTTAAGACTTTTTTGATGTTACAATGTTCAGCAACACAATGGAAGCAGCTTGGCTCTATCTTAAGCCTGCCTCAGTAATAATAATAATAATAATAATAATAATAAAAGACAAGTTCTATCCATTTCTATCCATTATCCATTATTAGGACATTTTTTAAATCTCACCCCAGTTCTGCCACCCTTTTTTCTGGACATCATAACAACTTACATTCCTTCCTCTCCAAGACACAATTAGAAAAAAATTAGCAAATTTAGCAAGCATTGATGTTTTTCTCCTGCAGATTGTGTCTTCTTTTTGACATTCTACAGCTCTAGTACTATTTAAGTAAAAATTTTCAACCACCCCAGGCACTCTGGTATCCATGAATCATAATAACTTCATTCCTTGGGCATGTTCTTCCTCTGTTTTTACAGCAGTGAGCCCAAAATTATAGCCTGTCTTGATTTACATCACAGAAACAGGCAGAAGCAGTCTTTGCCTTATGCATCAGGATTACCTGTGAATCTTTTTAAAAATGGAAATTATGTTTGTAACACTGACTCTATAAGATTGAGGACATGCCAAAGAATCTATATTTTTCAAACCTCTGGCAGTGATAAGGTGCAGAAGCTACAGCCAAACTAGAATGAAACAGAACTTCTCTAGTCCCTCCTGTCAAGTTTCAGAAATATGCAGAAAAGTTGTACAGTGTGAGAGAATATTGTTTTACAGCAAAGATGTTAATTAAGAGAGGTGGTAATGATTAAGTAAGCATGGATATTTAGACATGGCACCAAAGTTTTCTGTTTCACATGGGATCATTTTGCATACATTTTAAAAGAAACTGAACCAGCCAGGCACGGTGGCTCACACCTATAATCCCAATACATTGGAAGGCCGAGGCAGATGCATCACCTGAGATTGAGTTCAAGACCAGCCTGACCAATGTGGTGAAACCCTGTCTCTACTAATAAAAGTACAAAAATTAGCTGGGTGTGGTGTTGGCACCTGTAATCCGAGCTACTTGGGAGCCTGAGACAGGAGAATCACTTGAACAGTGAGCCGAGATCCCACCACTACACTCCAGCCGGGTGACAGAGCAAGACTCCGTCTCAAAATTAAAAAAAAAAAAAAAAAAGCGGGGCCTGGTGGCTCATGCCTGTAATCCCACTACTTTGAGAGGCTGAGGCAGGTGGATCACGAGGTCAAGAGATCGAGACCATCCTGGCCAACATAGCGAAACCCCG